TTCTAATTGAAGAGGGCTTTGAAAGACACCTTTTGAGTGAAAATACATTTATGCAATGGGACTTTTGACTCAAAACCTTTTACTTTTCTACACTACATAATTAAAAGTACACTTATTTTACATAATTATTCCACACAATATTTGCACAAAATAATCCACTAGAAAAATAAATAAATAAACTAACAATAAAAAACACTTGAAATAAAAAAATTGTATCACTTATATTATTCATTGGCAGAGCTCTTGGTAGATTGTAAAACTGACATAAGGGGGAGGTAACACTTGCATTGGCCAAATTATCAGCCAGTTAATCTGTCTGGCCAATGTATTGGTCTATCACTAGTGTGATGTCCAAAATCCATCTGTCTGCTTCCAATTTTGCTTGCAAAGACCCAGTTGCCTTCTTAAGAGCAATGCTGCCTAATGGTTAAGGAAGATTGTAGGTTCAATCCCAGGATTTAGTAACACAGGAAAAAAGAGTTAGTGAGATCATAGTAGTGCTTTATTAGCACAGTGCCCTTGAGCGAGACACATCACAGCAGACTGCTCAAGGGGGAATGGCTCTGCAATTAGTGCCCTGAAAGTCACTTTGGATAAAAACACGACTGCTTTGTGGCAAATGACTTCATGAGCACAAATAACTTGACTCAAATCAATTATTAATTACTGCATTAAAGGGATAGTTCACCGAAAAATGAAAATTCTGTCATCATGTGCTTTACCCTCATGCCGTTCCAAACTCATACTGTATGATGATATTTGAATAATGTTTCAGCCGTTTTGTCCATAAAATAAGATTCAGTGGGGTCCAAAAATGTTCAACTCTTAAAAGAACATTATTATTATTATTATTATTTAAAATTTATATTAAAGGAAATTAATATCTTTATTTAGCAAACACATATTAAATTGATCAAAAGTAACAGGAAAGACATTTGTAATGTTACAAAAGATTTCTATTTCAAATAAATGCTGCTCTTTTGAACTTTCTATTAATCAAAGAATCCTGAAAAATAAAATGTATCACAGTTTCCACAAAAATATTGTGCAGCACAACTGTTGTCAACATTGGTAATAATCCGAAATGTTTCTTGAGCAGCAAATCAGCATATTAGAATGATTTCTGAACAATTTAGTTAATCTGATGCTTTAATCACAGGAATAAATTGCATTTTACTATATATTCACATAGAAAACAGCTATATCAAATTGTAATAATATTTCACAATTTTACTGTACTTTTGATCAAATAAATGCAGGCTTGGTGAGCAGAAAAGACACTTCAAAAACATTAAAGAATCTTATCACCCCAAACTTTTGAACAGTAAGTACAGTAAGTACACCAAATATGAATAAAATTAAATGCATGTCATCTACAAATAGATAGTCAAAGCATGCTTCTCTCTTTGATAGCAGTAAGCCACAAAATTACTCAACTTCTGATCAGCGAGTGGAGGAAATCAGAAATCCCTCTAATGCTGTCTACTCCAGCAAAATGTTTTGCAAGTGCTAAGCGCATCAGATCAGGTTGTACTGAAAGTCGCCTGTGCGTTCACGAGTTCTGAAATGGGCAAACTGGTGAAATTGCCCTAATTCATATTCATAAAGAAAACTGTTCAGCTGGCATTACTGCAGTTAGTGGGCAGACACAGCCGTAAGGGATGTTCACTCAGATAAATATTTCAGCAAAAATCATCACTTAAAGATGAGATGTTGAACGTGGCATGTGAATAAGTGGTGGTCACTCAAGCACACAGTCTCACCAGACCACAGAATTAGGTCACACTCATTTAAAAACAAGAATTGAATCGAAGGGAGGGAGAGAGGGAAGGAGAAGTACACTGTTTCACTGTAGATCCTGTTAACCTGAGCCAACAGTGGAGATCTAAACAAGGGCGTAGGGATCCTTATGCAGGGAAAACGTGGCCATGCCACTTTTAGAACATTCATCCCCCCACTTTTTGGCAGATAATCAGTGCTTTTCATGCCTTAATGTGTCCCCAACACTTTCAAATCTTTTCTATACAGGTACCTCCATATAAACCGTAAAGGCCATAGTGGAGATGAGCATAAATGAAGGTGTTGTCATGGCAGATGGCTGGTGAAATCAATGCCAGGCTGGTAGGAGCTAAAATATAGCACAAAGAGCATGTCTACGTGGCCTAATCCCAGCGCACATGAATTGAAATTCCTAAAATATTTATAATCCTATTTGGTTTCTGCATTCTCTAGCATATGGTATCTGTTCTTTAAAGCGGGAGCATGTCTGACTGTGTTGGTGGCCTGGAACACACACTCACACATACACACACTCGAACAGCGATGCTCGCACTCCTGCTGGGCTGTAGAGCTGATTTCAGTATAGCAGAGATGAAGATTTTAATAATTCAGCTCTGGGTTGTCAATCACCCCTTGAGGTTCCGAATGTGTGGCCAATGAGCCATTTTTGAATGCGCTGATCAATTAAACAGCAGAACATCACCTTAAACATTCCGTCCTGGAACTTAAACTTGCTTTGATCTTCATTTTTAGAGGGTTTAGGGATCAATTTCATTTGAAAATCTGTGTTTTTCTGTGTAGGTGCTGGCTCAGGTTAGATACTTACTTTATCTGGAGTTTCATTGGGCCTGCTACTCTCATCATCATGGTGAGTTTAACACACTCAAACACACACACACACACACAGGGGGTTTAGAGAACGATAGAGCGAAGCCAACTCCACACTGGAGCACAGACACACACACACACACAGGAAAGTTTCTGCATTTTTACAATTTAAAAATAACTTTGTTTACTTTATTTTTATACCAGTTTTACAAATGAGGACGTCTTTGGTTTTTGGAGATTTTGTCAGGTTTAGCTCACTTTTGGGTACAAATTTGTCCCCAAAATATGGTTAAGTAGGTACACACACACACACACAGGGGGTTCAGATAATGGTCTGTCGAGGGCATTTTCCCAATTACGGGAAAGTCACAATCACCCCACAAGACAAGCTGAGCATCCCCGTTGCTATATATAGAGGAAGAGCAAGCATGTGTGTGCGTGTGGATGTTGGGTTTGCTTTTTCTAGATCGTTTATTGTATATGTTTCTGAGTTTTTAGGAGGGTTCTCATTTGGGATGTACTGAAATTTTGTGAGAATAAGAATATGAGAATAGGCTGAAATCCTGGCTGGAACCAAATTTTTGACATGGAGAAAAATCATATTTACCAGTAATGTAAATATCAGCTAATGGTGATATTTTGCCAAGAAAACGCTCACACTTACTGTACAGTTGAAGAGATGAGCAGACATTTTCTAATTATCTAATTACCAACCAAAAATTATACCGTATATTTTTTCTGTTTGCGTACAGGTTGTACACATGCACTTATCTTGTACAGTACATGTGTTATACAAACAGTGAGATAGTAATATGTAATATACTGATTATAATATCATAAGATATCTTATGTAATATACTGTAGAGTAAAAATGTGCTTGTATTGAAAACAAAATTGGGAGTTATTGTGATTTGCACATCATAATGTGTGCAAGATTGTATTAGTACTTATAAAGCACATATTCTGCATGACCATGTTCTACATTGCTAATCCTACCCAATACATAAACTTAACAACTACCTTACCAACTATTTATAAGCAGCAAATTAGGAGTTTATTGAGGCAAAAGTCGT